CACAGTGTCACTCGGCCGCCTCCCAGCTGTGAGTCTTGGGACTGTCACCACACCCTCTAAGCCTCAGTTTCCACCTGTGTTCAGTGGGTGGTAACAGGAACAAACTCCAGTGGTTCCCACATGGAAAGTGCTGCTCCTGAGTCCAGCCCTGTGGAAAGATCTGCTGGATGAGCCACGGTTGTCCTCATTCAGGATTCCTGACCCCCAACAAGGAAGTCTCTGTCACACCCTCCCTGACCTNTGTCCTCATTCAGGATTCCTGACCCCCAACAAGGAAGTCTCTGTCACACCCTCACTGACCTTGTTGACTTGGGCTTCACTGTTTTCACTTTTGAGATTCTACCTGTAGGCTTCTGGGTGTATTCAAAGCTGGGAGACTGGAGGCTGGCAGAGGGGCTTCAGGTGCACCCAGCTATCTTGGGATGAGTGGGTTGGGGTTCATTCCTTCAAAAAACATATCTGAAGTCACACTATGTGCAGTGACATTCTGGGCACTGAACATATTCCAATGAACCGAGGAGACTACAATCCCTGCCTTCCTGGGCTTCCATTCTAGTCAGACATTAGACAACGACAATATACGTGAGGAGCAGGTAGTGCCACCATATGGTAGATGTGACACCGTCCTGGTCTCCTCTAGGTTTAGAAGCATCCTTTCTCATTTTCATGGGGATGGCGGATCCCTGGAGCAGCTAAATTGGTGAGTGGGGTTTGGGTGCAGATGGAGGGGCTCCCATCTCCACAGAACTGTGTGTGGTCTGTGGGGGCCTGTGGAAGGGGGTACTGGCAGAACTCTGGCTCCCACACATCTTATGATTCCTGCTACAGGGCCCAGGGCACAGGCTTTCCTACAGGAAAAGGAGTCAAGATGAGCTGGGGATGGGGCCACAGGCATTGTAGGGTGTGCGAGAGGCTGGAGAGCAGAGTGAGCCCAGAGAGAAACTGCCCCCACCCCTCCCATCCAGCCCTACCGATACCCCCAGAGCACGTGCTGAGCCAGAGCAGGTGTGCAGAGCATCCCGCTCACACTCGGGGATGCTCACCCATGCG